TGACCCACAGACTCCTCCTCCCTGACCCACAGACTCCTCCTCCCTGACCCACAGACTCCTCCTCCCTGACCCACAGACTCCTCCTCCCTGACCCACAGAGCCCAGAGGGTCAGATGTTCTGTTTGACATGTTAAACATCTGTACGTTCTTTCATGACCCTTCACATGTTGAAGTTCTAACTCCAGGTGATGTTGTACCAGCAGGGCGGAGCCCCCCAGCAGCAGGGCGGAGCCCCCCAGCAGCAGGGCGGAGCCCCCCAGCAGGGACAGTGATTGAACAGGTGAAGGTGTAAACTGATCAGTGTCACAGCTTCACACAGGTACAGGTGTGTTGTACCTTCTCTCTGGTGGCACAGCTCGTGGTACTGCTGCCTCAGCTTGGTGACGAGCTGGGCCCTCTGCAGCTCGATCTCAGGGTGGGGGGGCAGATGGTTGGTGGGGGGTCTCTCTCTGATCACAGCGTTGGTCTGTACGTCCAGATCCCAGTAGATCCTGAAGGAAGAACCCACCCGGGTCAGTAAATCCTGCAGGGACTAACTTTACAACGGCCATGGCTTCAGAACTCACACAGCTGGTCTGTAGGGGGCCGGCGAGGGGGCTGGACTTGGGGTTGGGGTTGGGGGTGTGGCCGTCTGGGCCTGTTTGTCCTCAGGGGCGGAGCTCCAGGGTTTGACCCCAGGAGTACTGGGAGAGATGGGTGTGCTCGGCTCCACCTGAAAACAAGACTGGACTCAGTCCCCCATGAGCCACCAACTGGTCCCACTGAGAACAGGTGAGGCAGCCTTACCTTTGTACGCTTGAAACTGTTAGGCCCCGCCCCCTGCTCCTCAGAGCTCCGCCTCTTCCTCTGACCATTTCCAAGAGTAGCGTCTGCCCCCTCTGCTGGAGCTGCGTTCAGACCCAACGGGTCGGACTGAGAGCACAGAACCTCAGTTCAGACTGTGTGTGTGTGTGTGTGTGTGTGTGTGTGTGTGTGTGTGTGTGTGTGTGTGTGTGTGTCCTTGTTTTTCCTACATCGTAGGGCCCAGTTTTAAGGAAAATGCAGCCTCATGGGGTCCAGGTTCTCTTTATGGGGCCCAAAGCCTGGTCCCCACAACTTCAGAGGCTGGTTTTGGGTGTGGGGGGTTGGGTTTAGGACCAAGGTGTGAATTGAGTTTAGGTTAGTTTAGGGTCAGGTAGGTACCTGTGAGGTTAGTTTAGGGTCAGGTAGGTACCTGTGAGGTTAGTTTAGGGTTTGTGGTCAGGGTTAGGATATAAAATTACCAAAACATGAATGGAAGTCAATGGACGGGCCCCACAAGGATATAAAAACAAGTTTGTTTGTTTGTTTGTTTGTAGGAGGGACTCACGATGACATCATGCTGACCCAGCACTGGCACCTCCCACAAGCTCTGATTGGTGAATCTGTTGAAGTAGTACGGCCGGTTCTCCCTCCGAGACCAACATTTGGACCATCCAGCCTGGACCAGCTCATCTGCCACAGACAGGTGAGAGGACACACAGGTGAGAGGACAGACAGACAGGTGAGAGGACACACAGGTGAGAGGACACACAGGTGAGAGGACAGACAGACAGGTGAGAGGACAGACAGACAGGTGAGAGGACACACAAGACAGGTGAGTGGACAGACAGGTGAGAGGACACACAGGTGAGAGGACACACAGGTGAGTGGACACACAGGTGAGTGGACACACGGGTGAGTGAACACACACAGGTGAGAGGACAGACAGACAGGTGAGAGGACAGACAGACAGGTGAGTGGACACACAGGTGAGTGGACAGACAGGTGAGGAATGGATGTATGTACCTGGAAGCTCAGGTGATTTGGAGGTAGTGGATGGAGAAAGGGGTGGTCCCTGGGAGGAGGTGGAGCCAGAAGGAGACCCCAGTGTGGCTGCCTCCCCCTTCACAGGTCCTTGGCTGTTATTGGACATTTCTGCTGCTCGTCAGAATCACATGAACCTGTGAACAGGAAGACACAGACTTTCACAATAAAACAATGAGCGGTCTTTTATTTTTTTAATTAAAAAATATGCCTCCAATATTTTTAAATGAATGGACACTGGTCAGGTTTAAAGTTCTTCTAGAGTTCAGCTCAGGGTTCAGAGAAACACCTGCACAGGTGAGGACAGGTGTGTGTGTGTCTGTAGGTGAGGACAGGTGTGTGTGTGTCTGTAGGTGAGGACAGGTGTGTGTGTGTCTGTAGGTGAGGACAGGTGTGTGTGTGTGTCTGTAGGTGAGGACAGGTGTGTGTGTGTGTGTCTGTAGGTGAGGACAGGTGTGTGTGTGTGTAGGTGAGGACAGGTGTGTGTGTCTGTAGGTGAGGACAGGTGTGTGTCTGTAGGTGAGGACAGGTGTGTGTGTGTCTGTAGGTGAGGACAGGTGTGTGT